AAGGACTAAAGGGAACCTGACCTCCTCCCCCCTCATATTTTGGAGCTGCAGAAAGGGGCATCCTCCATAATGATCAATTATAAATGGGGCAGACTGAGATGCAACAACTGAATGGTAAGGTACAATCAGTCACAGCTATAGATCTCTCTCGGAGTGCCATAAATATGACTTCAAACCATCGCAAAAAAACCCTGTGATCACGCTTACCAGATGCTAACAACACCGATTTAATTTAGTTTTGCCTTCTGCACAGTGAAAAATACTGTAATTTTGTAGGAATTACTGTCAAGCTTACGGCTCTAATTACATTCTGCCATTTTAAAGTGCTTGTATATGCATTTGTTTCCAAAGATGTCACCCTGAATACTGAAATTCCCTGTTCACTCACAGAAGAGATACAGTAATAATAGCCAATGCAACAGCAGCATCTTAATGCAAGACAAATCACCAAGGAAAGTAAGGTTCAAGTTATTGTTTTTCCAACTTAAAATCCGAGGTACACTTATGCAGTTACATTTGCAGTGCTGCAAAATACACACCTTCTTCCTTTTAATCTGCTTCATGCAGCAGGAAGAATTCTGATGGAGCCAAAATACATATTGAGGAAATGTTGATTTTATACTGAGCTTCAGACTCTTCCCTCATGTCTTTATTTTGGTGATCATATAAGCAAAGCAAACAAAAGGACAAAAATTATTCAATCCTCTTACTGTCTAACTTCTCTTGTTCTTTCAAGTGCCAGAGCAGAGTAAGTTCAGCACTTGGTTACTGTATTGTACGATCCGTAGTGCAATTTATATACTCTCATCTAAAAAAATTTTCATCTTGAACAACAGTTGGAGCAAACCACATCCTTATCCTGTGACAAGTTGAAACAAGCATACAAAGCATTCCATACTGATAAAGCAGGATGTCTTGAACAAGCATGTTGCAGTTATAAAAGCTCAATCACGTGATTGACTATATTGAAAAAGCAACGTATTTAAACATATTTAAAGCCTCGCTACCTAGCATATCCCCTGGAAACTTCACATAACCCACACTTGGTAAGGCACTCTGAAACAGGGCAAAGTGATGTATTTTGGCAGTCATGAAGCGTATGTGCTTTGGAAAATTTGGGTAAATTATGAATTTGCTTAAACACCTCTATCAGTCTTCAAAGGATTGGTGAGGAGCCTTGCTACCACTTAATATCCTATGGGAAAACATTTTCCCTCTTGCACTCCACCCCCATCTCCAAAAAGGAGCTGACTTCATTGTCAAATCAGCTCTATGAAAATCTTAAACCACTACATTCCTGGTTCCCACATTCAGTCTGATGGCTCTATTCTAGTTTCACCTTTTGAGAAAGTACAATGTTAAACATTCTGAAGGCTATTTTTTTCACTCTTTCAAATATTAGGGCGAGAGCTTAAATAGGTGATACAGCTTCAAGTTAAGTAAAGGCTGTCATCAGCTGTTACTAATTTATGGTAATCAACTTTGGTTATGTACAGATCAGATAAATGGGAGCACATGTTTAACTAACAGATGATATATTACAGGACCATTTGCTTTAATTTCTCATCAATCATATGAAGCATTTCTATAACAAGTTTATTTTAGCATTATTCCATTCCAAAATTCTTCACTCAAATCTTTTTTTTCCCCTTGTGGCTCCATCTGCTGATTGGAAAAATGTTACCAGGTACCATGGTAACGCTTGCTATGCTATGAGACTTATTGAAGAAAGTTTTCAGACTTCTCGGGCATAACTAAGACATACAAAAGTACATAATAATGTCAGAGAAACACTCCAGAGATACTATTTTAGGAGATTTCATAGATTTGTTATTTATATGTATTTTACATAAAAAAATACAATACACAGACAGTGGAGAAAGTGTCTGTCCCTAATAAAAGACAATTTGGTATTTCACAGATGCAACACATTCTGCTGTTTAAAATATACTTCAAGTGCTCTCAAAAGTATGAACTGGCAATTTTGAAGTCTAAACTTCACTGGTCAGCACCCAACTACTGATGTCAATGATCAACGTCATTAAAAGGCAAGTGCTACACATAAGGACTAACTTTGAGGGACAGCAGGTTAACCTGCCTAGGCCTCCCCTGTAGTGTGTGTAAGATTCTTTTACAGGAAAATTTTGGGCACAGACTAATTTTGTCTTTATAACAGTCCATCTCTGTTGCCAAAGAGACCTAGATGACCACCTATACTAAGTTTAGACTGCTCTTCTGCCCTTAAAAATCAAAGTAATGCTACTTTCACTGAGGGGTCCCTCGCAGCAGCACAAATTAGTAGCTGATATCAAGCAGGAGAAAACAGAGCATGATCAAGCCAGAGCACTCATCCCTTATGTAGCCTTTTATCTCACAAGAAAAACCACACATCCAGATCCACACTGTGCCTCTATATTTCTGCCAACTGGAGCCTGTGGAGAAAGAACTCCATCTCCTGCTTTCAGGCTGGGTAACAAGTCTGAGTTTACCCTTTACTATTTAATCTTCTTTCTGTTGCAAACCCACCCCACATATGATAATAATAAATCATAGTAATAATGGACTGGTGTCACCTGAATTCTTCCAAAGGGTGGGAACTTGTTTCAGACTTGTTTTGCCATTATGCATACAGACAAAATGTTAGACATGACAACATAAGGACTTCAAAATCCATTTCTTCCAACATGAAATGTTTTCTACCAGCCAACACCCAAACTCCAAGTATAACACTGTCTACCCAAAGCATAATAATTTTTGTAAGCAGCTTTTGTCATGCTGAAACAAATAAAAATGGTGACTCAATCTCAGGTAACAGTTTGTCTGGTATCCTGAGACACACCCGCCTTAGTCCCAGTTTTGTTTCTGGTTTCTTCCCAAAACAGATTTGTAAGTCTAAAACCCAAGTGCATTCTAAAAGTTTTATGCATTTTATGGCTTTTTTGAACACTACTGTTACAGATTTATAACCTTACCATACTGCAGTTGCAAACCAAGAGCAGTGACAATATCTATCCCAGTCCTTTCTAAAGACAGCTGTAGGATTTGATACTGAAGTTAGACTCTATTGGAAAGCTACACATACCAAAGACCTAGCAATCAATGGTCTTAACATACAAATTCGCGAGGCAAGTTACCTAAGCTGAGCAGGCTGAATGGGACAGCTCTGACCAGGTCTGGATGAGTATAGCAACTGCGTCTTGCAGATTACAGTTCAGTAAAGAGGTGGCTGCAAGCCATTTCCACTACCTGCCATAGTTTCCACGGGAAATACGTTGCGGCACATTTTGACCAGTCCTTGGTCTGTGCAGTACAAGGGACAGAGAGCCAAGGATGCATTCTGTCAGGCACATCTGATGGGCATAGATGTATATACAGTGCCACTGAGCCAGCAGAAAAAAGCATGAAGTTTGGTGTGTTCCAGCATGAGAAAAAGCTCGTAACATGTATATACTTTTCAACAGTGGAATAAGACTTTAAAAATACCTGACAACTACTATGAAACATAATATTTGCTTGTATTCTACCGCCCACTTACATCCTAGCCCAAAATCTGCTGAGATCACCAAAGACTTTTCACTGATTCCAGTGGACCCTGAATCAAGTCAGTAGGGATGGATAAGAGGTAGGAAGGGAAAATCCCATTTTTAGCACATCTGCAAGCTGAAAAAACAGGACCTGGCTCAGTATCCATGACAACACTGCTGATGTGCTGCTAAAACCAAGAAAAGACATTAAGTTTTAATACCCATAAAGCCAGCTGAATCAGTTCGCCTGCATTTCTCTTCTATGAATTTGCTGAACTTTTAATGGTTTTGTATGTTTGCATATATGTGTATGTAATGACGTAAGATTCAATATGGCCAAGCAAGACTTCAGTCAAGGATATTCTTAGGATAACTGAAAAAAGGCTATGTTCTTCTAACTGGAGCAGTTTAGGGCAGAGGCAATCCCTTTCATTAGATAAAGGGATACAGCTGGAAAAAAAGGACAAGGTTTCGAACTAAGCACATTTCCAACACACACCAGTTTTAGAAGTGAAGTCATCTGAAGTTCTTTTTTTTTATTGGATTTGCAACATGGCCCAGTGAAAAGCAAGATGCAATGCAAATGCAATTGCAGAAGTGAGTCTGATGAATGTTTTCAGTCTCAGTGGTAGGAGGGACAGACTCCGACAAAATTATTTCCAGGTAGAATCTTCTTCCCATCCATGTTTCAACTGTTAACTTATTTTCTGTATGCATACTGCACGGTAATGTATAATGGGAGAGCTTAACTGGTGGTTATTTTTCTTTAGATGAATGACTAAAAACCTGATTGTTAGGAAAATCTGAGGTAAACACTAAGAAACTAAAAATATGTGTACTTAATTATGAACAAAAGAAGAGGTTTACCTGCCAAGACAAATTAAAAGTTCTGTGTATCCCCTGTAACAGATGACTGTTCTAGTATCTAAAATAAAGAAAGAGGGGTGTCACCAGCAACACCAAAAGTGGAGACATATAAGCAGGGATTAAAAAAAAGACAGAATTAGCTTGCAAAGGAGGATTCAAAATCATGGGAAACAATTCAAGTATCTATCCAGTGCAAGGTAAATAGTTGGAAATAAACAGAACTGAAAATGACCACTGGAGAACAACAAATGAGTTTACACAAAATAAGGCAACAGACTAGTGAAGTTCTGGGACTTCACATACTCACAGGAGCAGAAAGAATAATGTAATTCCACATATGACTGGCAAAATCACTCCAGGAACAGTGCGTGTATTTTGTTCAGCACGTTTATCACATAGAAGAGTGGTAAGCAGGGTCGTGAACTCAAGCAAGATGGCAACACCAAATAAAAACGGTTAACTGCATTTATTGTATCAGGGCTATGACAATAATCTACATATCCAAGAAAGATTATAAAAAAAAAAAAACAAGGACAAAGGAAAAATTAAGGCTGAGGAAAATACAAAAAGATTAGACTACATAAACAGAATTCATTTTTCCCGAAGTTTTTTAAAGCTAAGTTCTTCTTAACTGCAATCAAAGACTTGATTCATAATGTCAGGAGAAACTGACACCAATGAGATGTGTTGCATTTGACCCCAGCTCTATCAGCAGTCCAAGAAGGCCACAGCCCTGGGCCTGAATCATCGCTGAGGCTTCCGTGTCACCTGCAGAACAGAAGAGGGAGGGGAAAATCTGCCAGGTGTGTGTGGGTGGCTCTTCAAAATGGGGAAACCCTGCTGCCTGACAGGATGACTTTTTAGATTTTTATGGTAAGGGGGTGGGAAATCTGGTCCTTTATGTTTATTCTATGACATTTAGATCCTCCTACCTTTCAAACCTTTTTAAATGTTCCCACACCGTGACACAGGTATTAATCACAAGAGTGTTATTCTTTGAGATGAACATGTAAGTGCTCTCTGCCCATTATCTGCAAAGATTTTGTTATCAACCAGTCTTCTTCAAATGGCTAGTGCAGCAATTAATACAGTCTTAGCCAAAAACTGCAAGTACTGGCTTACAAAGACCAGCTTGGCATTTAACATGAAATTAGTGAGCCCTCCAGTGGCTATTTTAAACCCTACATTGTTACGATAGCATAACTGTTTGTTTATATGTGCTTTATTCAGATTCCAGTCAATTTAATTTTAATTCAGTCATCTACTACTTCAATTAAACAACATTTTGTAGCGACCTATTAAAAGGCTCTATAATACTTGCAAACATCTACATTTGTTTTCCCTCCTGTATATGTACAAATTTTACAACTCATTAATTTTAAACATTTGAGTAACTTCACAGAAATCAGTGAGGAATATCTACCCTAGGGGAGGGCACAAAAGAAAGCATTTGGCTCAAATTCAAAATCCTAGCCTATAATCCTCTAGTATATAAATCCTACCTCTGGAAACTAGACATCCGGGACACTGAATAAATCATTCACAGGCTCTCCCAATACAAAACCCAGGATGTGGCCGATTTAACATAAACAAAATGCTTGTTCTCATAAAGCAACTTGTTCAGCCATGGAACTCCTTGCAGCAAAATACTGTGGAGACAGGATTTTTGGCCCAAAGATGACTGGAAAACTAATTAAACAAAAATCCACCTGGGCCTGTTATTTGCAAAGAAATCCCTTGTCAGTAATTCCTAGAGTCCAGAGTAATCTGGAAATGTAACATCGCATACTTCTCCAACTCTTACACTCTTCCATTATGGAAGGCATCCGTTACAGAAAGCTGCAGAGATAAATTTTGCTAGAAGGACCTTTTTCTTAGGTCTAGCACAGACACTTTGAAGTTTAAATAAAACCTTTATTCAAATTATCTAACCACAGTGTGAGAAATACCCAGCAACTGAGGAACTCTGAGATGCCACTACAGATTTTTTGCCACTGGTCCACTTTGAGATACTGCACAGCCTAAAGGAAAAATCCAAGCAGGGTTGTGCCTCATTTGACAGCATCTTCTTGTGCTCGATTCTCCAGTCATTATACAGTATCATCCTGAATTTGTTATATGAGCACTGGTTGCTATGGAAATCATCATCTGCTAAATTCAGCATTATTGATTTTGTTTAACATGGGAGTACTTCAGTGTTGCTCCTTTTCAGATCTGAGCTGTAGGCTTTAGACAAGGTTCTGATCACTCCTTTCACAGGAAAATCCACAAAAAGAGAATTAGAATTAAATCTCAATGAAATGACACAGAACCGCACTAGCATCCAAGCTCTGCAAGGATCTGAATGGTTTGCAGACATTCTGTATCTCTACCCCCCACCCTGCAAGCTGGGCTCTTCTATGACTTGGGAATAATTTATTCAACAATGCCTTCAAAATGCAGTTCTTGAACCAGTACAGGTACTGGAAGGAGCATGCATCACAATTGGCTCTATTTCTCAAGCCAATTTACCCTCTCTCAGATGGAAATCCTCAATAATTCAGATCTACTATTTTCAATGCTTCACTACCTTATTTACAGACAGCTAAACCATCAAAACATAGCATCATTCTTTAGTCTCTCCAAGACCTGGTTCACATTTTTGCATGAACTGAAAAACAAAACAAAAATAATCCATTTTCTTCATTAACCGAGAGGAGGTTAATTAGCAGAGAAACAACTCCACACTTATAAAAATGTTTTTCAAAATGAGTAAGGCAATAAATCCAAATTTAAGTATCTAAACTGAGGTAAACTAATTCTGAAGATCAAGTGTGCAAAGACAAATATAGTTAATATTACACAAACAAGTAGCCTGATTAGGTCTGTACGATCAGTGCTTTGAGCGTTACTGGGGTTGTAAAACACTAGGCTAATACCACATAAAGCCAGAAAATAGAATTGCAGTCAAATAAAAAGTTAGTTTACCAAATATCAGAACTAAGTGAGACTGATTTTCTGCTGACTCATGGTTTGTGAATGATTAGTGCATCAGAAGGTGTGCGCACCAAAGGCTGAAGGATATTTACCATGGAGGCATTTATATCAAGTCTTTTTTCCCCATGTTAATTCTTTGGTGTCTAGTGAAGTATGAATTTCAACTACAACATCGTCCCCCATCAGAGTGCTTCTGCTCTATCTGGCCACCTGTTAACCACGAAACCTGAAATGATTTATTTATCCACATTTCTGTTCAGTTTGATCAAAGCAGCCAATTGGTCCAAAAGCTAACCGAGGATCAAAACCAACGGAGAGTACAATTGTTTAAGCCTTGCTTCCATGGGAAACCTTAAAAATATAAAAGAACAGATAACAGTTCATCAATATATGCTGCAAATGTGATTCACACTTAAATTATTCAAAAATTATTAACTGTGTATATGATTATGACTCATGGAGACAGTACAAATGGTTCCTTGACTGTGATCGTGCTGTTCAATTCAGGAAAATACATTCAAATATCTGACATTAGTGTTTCATAAGAACATGTTTGAAAACAGAACTGCAGTAAAAGCACATGTAACTTAAATTTTCCCAGTATCTCATATAACTGAAAGAAAAAGCTGCAGAGAATTACAATCAGAAATTGCTAAGCACACCACAGATGGGAAACTTTGCATCTTCCCCTTCTGTCAAAAAGCACAGAAAATATTTTTATCCATCATAACTTACATACTGAATTCTCTATACACAAGCCAGGTGCACATGTGCCCTTCATTATGACAGAACACAGATTACTGCTGCTCAAAATGACACACAGCTGCATAACAGATACAGAAGACAGAGAGAGAAGCTCAAGAATATTCTTGTCATGCTTTTGCCATTTTATCTTGTGTTTCAGCAGCAAGAGCTAATTGGACAGGGCTTTGGGCAGGAGCACACTTTCCAGCTGAGCTGCTCCCGTGTTTCTCCTAACAGACCTATGTATGATTATACTGGAATCAATATTCCTGCGGAGGATCTTTGTTAATGAAACGAGTTTCACACATTAACTACATCAGTGCAGAAAATACTGACTTCATTTTGCCTGTAAATGACCTGTGTCAACATGCCCTAAAATGCAGTCTAGTTAAGAAAAAATACTGTTGCTGGATTATGCTAAGCACTCCTTTTAACAGTTCTAAGGCACGAGACTGGTTTAAACTTTAAGACACCAGGCTGCAGTACCTGTAAAAACAATGCTGCTAAAAACAATGATCCCTACCCACGCTTGTGTGTCAGCACTTGTGCCTCACTTTTTCTTTTTCCCCATCAGAACAGATTTCAGACAGATGTATTACATGATCACAGATAATACCCATATTTCTCTTAGCACCATGAAAGCAGATTTAGTCTTCTTTTACTACAGAGGCCCAACAAGCAGAGAGGACAGCAGCACACCACACAGAGGGGACACAGAACATTAAGATGAAAGCAACGGTGAGATCGCCCTTTCTGCCAATGTTCCCACTAAGCTTCTCTCGTCTCACAGGGAGTATCATACACCCAAGAAATACCACCGGAGTTTGGGAAAGCGCAGAATGCAGTATTTACCTACTGAAGAAGCCTGATGCCAAAAGTTAACACTCATATCCTCGGAACTGCAGTGCCTCTTACCAATCCTGGGAAGTTGCTAGTTAGGTTTTACCTTTATTTACTATTCTCCTGGGCAAGACTGTAAGCTGAAATCCTGTCCCCAGACCCCATGCTGCTCTGAACACACCTGCACCCCACGTTTATCTTCTGTTTGTGCTCTGAGCAAGTAGCACGGAAGTACTGGAGACGCTACGGCCTCTTAAGTTAGGGGAACGGCCGTGTTTTTGAGACAGCCATAGCCCGGCATACCACGAGTTCACAAAACCTACCCGGCCCCAGGGTATGCAGTACAGCAATGGCGCCTGGACACAGCACACGCTTAATTTAAACCTGAAGCTTTATTAGGAGGCCGGAAAAGCCTCGCCACCACTGCCC